AAAAACTATTTTGATTTTAATAAATTTTTTTACGGCTATATTTAGAAGTGCGAAGCAAGTAAAATGGAAATAGAAGATTAGCATAGACATCGTGGCTGCGTTAATACATATATATCAAGATTCAAAACTAGATTTGTAGCAAAAAATTCAAAAGTATATGTCTAATAACAAAATTCCTTATGTCTGTAATATTATGATCTAATAAGTTAGATATTGTTCCGTGTAAATTATTAATTTATATTTGCATTATTTATAAAATATCAAAAATTTGCAGGATAATTTATAACAAATGAAAGAGCAATATTTGTCTTAATTTCTAATTTGTATAATTTTTTTAAACAAAACTTGTTTGCAAAATCTTTCTGCGAACAAAAATACTTATAAATACTTATAAAATACTTATAAAGAAATAATGCATTATTATAAAAAAAAAGAATATTACAATCATAGAGTTTTTTATCTTTGAAATGAATAAATAACAAAGTATTTTATCAAACTTTAGAAATGTAAAGAACGTTCCGTACACACAATATATAGGGCATTCTTGTTATCTTTAATGTTCTGGAATTGTGAGGAATATTTTGTCATGTTTGACTTATGTCGGGCTTGTTACGTTTCTAAGGAAACGAGCCACCTTTTTGAGGTGTCGGCAACCACACGTATCTTGGCACGTAGGCAAAGATCATCCGTTCGCAATTTCATACGGGAATTTCTCAATTTTCGCAGTGGCGCATGAAGTAGAAGGGAACGAGGGTATCTTGCGAAATAAATTATTCTAAATCTTTGTCATTGTAATATAATATTGTAAATATACTCGAATAAGAATATTATTAAAATCGACGATTGAAGATGAGCGACGCACCGCAAGCCATCGCTGAGGATCTAACATCTTCAAGCGCGGTCGAGCATCACGTTATGGATATCCTGAATCCTACGTTGCATCACCACGACTTGCTACAGAGCTACGTGCGAACTCGTGTAGAAACTGGCGATTCGAAACAGGACTTCGAGGAGTTTGAAGAACCGAGCAAAGAAGCGCATTTGAGTAAATATCCAACGGCAGCAAGTGGTGGCTACACCAGCAATGCTCGTTATACTCAAAAGGACAAAGGGAAGAAGAGCAACGACAGGAAGGGTAAAGATAATAAATCACCCGATAGCACTATCGAGTCGGAGATGAGGATACAGAAGTCGAGAAGAAAATGACGCCAACACGACGGCGAAGTTCGTCGGCAGGAAGAAGTCTATACCGACAAAGATCGCGCGGCTGCTGTGAATATGGGTACCACGGATATAAAGCAATCTTTAAAAATGAAGCAACGCCAAGACCGCAGCAAGAGTCTGCAAATCCCGGAGGAGACAGAGCCCGGGGCATTGTTGACGCTTGGTCTGCGCGAGATGCGTTTCGGCGACGTTAATGTCGCTATTAACTGCATCAATAAGGTTCCTATTCGTTTGTTTCGTCGGCCTCGTTAATTTTTTGCAGGCATAATCGATGAAAGTGATTTATATCTTTCGTGCTTGTCCGTGCGTGCGAGCATGAATATACGTGACCTTCCGTAATAAGCGACCAGTAAATCAATTTTAATAATTTATATCTTATAAATTGACACAAATAATAAATGCGGAGATAATTATTATTATTAATTGCAAAAAAGTTTAAATTTTTTAAAGGATTAAAAATTATGTATAAATATGTTAATTCTTAAACCAACATTTAAATAAAAGAAAAAATATTCAGATATGTGTATGTATGTATGTATATACTCACAACACAAGGACACAAGAAAGAAATCCAAGATTTATGAAATTTTTATTTGTATTTAATACAAATTCTAACAATTTTATCAAAATTTTGATAATTTTAATAAAAACATAAGAATATATTATGTATTGATATAAGAATTTATTTTGACAGGCACTGGAAATGAATCCGAATGACAAGAATGCCTTAATAGCTCGAAGCAAGTGTCATCTTTTATTGGGTAATCCGCAAAAAGCATTAGACGATGCTGAAGCGGCGTTACAGTTAAATCCTAAAGATTCCAGTAACTACAAAGCAGTGTATTGCAAGGCGGAAGCTCTTTATCATCTCGGCGACTTCGAAATGAGTTTGGTGTATTACTACCGTGGAATGAGAATCCGTCCGGAATTTGGTCAATTTCGTCTTGGTGTTCAAAAGGCAAAAGACGCAATACAGAACGTATTACGTAAGAACTAATGATACACATTATTTGTCAGACATATTAACGAAAACTTGTCCAAAGATTGAAAAAGAATAATGAGGACAAGGAAAACAGAAGGTATTATGCATGAAAATCATTAATTACGCAAGAAAAGCAATAATTTACATGTTATTTACATACCTATTTTCTTCGCTGTTTACATTACGAATTTTACGAGAAATCTTGCTAACTGTATATAACCCAGGAAATAATTGTTCATATAAGAACATATATAAATATATTAACATATAAATATATATAAACGTATATGAGAAAAAAAAATATATATATATATATATAATTATATATGAAAAATATCTATATATGTTCATATTAGATTCTTTATTATATTCTTTCTTTTATAAAATTTCTGTTTAAAAATAATAGTAATCATGAGAAGACAAAAAATAATTAAAAAAATTTTTACGTTGTTTTGTTTACAAAAAATTAATATACACATATATATGTAAAACACAGATAAATATCACATATATTGCTAACAATTAATATTTATTTAAAAGTTGATTATATGCATTGCAATCTGCATTACAACTTTGTAATCTAAGGCTTGTATAAAAGCACTAGTTTAGTTTGGTAAATTGACAATTCAGTTTACGGAATTTCGTTTATCAGTAATCGTCCACTGCAATCAGTAAGAAAATACAAATATAATAAAAATTTCACTATAATTGCAAATTTAATTCTCAAAGATATAGTTTTAACAATATTGCATAATATTTAATTATTTATAAAATTTTATTTTAACATATAGAATATAACTGTTCTGAATATAAGAGCAACATATGATATAATAGCTGTTATATCTTACAATTTGTTAATGTTATGTATCTTGTTTTATATAAATGTTACATTTCTTTGTTATTCATCATCTTATAACAAATAACATACAACAAGTAACATAATATGAATATAATACATTATATAATAAATATAATCTAATATTTTACTTTAATGTTATATAATGATATGACATTTCTTTATTTCTTTATCTTATCGATTATGATCTTAATCTCTTTTTCCTTGCAACGAGATGCTACGTGTAAAAAGTAGAAGAACGATTGTTATCAGAAATAATTATTCTTTTTCTTTTTAATTAATATTAAATATTATTTAAAATAATTGGAAAATATTCTACATATAAGTTATACAATATTTGTTAAATACCCTTGATAATTTATTAAATTAATAAAACTGTGGCGATTATATCGTTGCATGCATTGACATCCGAATCAGCTCAACAGAATAGACTTATGTATTTTCTAGATTCTCTTGTAATAATTTCTTTTGATATTAATCATATATTTCATGATTGTATTTTCTTTGTAACATTATAACGTTATTTCCTTTGTAACATAATTTAAATTGAGTTTAACGACTCGAGACAAGAGATAACAATAACAGCGGGTTCTCTTTCGACACTATATTATAAGAATTAAGATATTTGTTTTTAAGAAGAATCTCGAAGGAGAATAATACAGAGAGCTAATAGAGAATAACAGAGAGCGAATACCAACAGACGAGAGATTCATCCGAGTAAAGACGTGTGTTTAAAGCAAGAATAAAAGACACTTTATTAAATCGGATTTGATTTCACCTATATTCCCAAAAGACCTTAAATATAATTATGATGTGAAGTGAATGCATTGTTCTTATTGTACACAGCACGATATTGAAAATTGTTAACAATGATTTGTGACGACGTTAAGTGTAAAGAGGAAGCTATGACAGAAAAAAAGATGCAGAAAACGAATTTTGATTGGTTTGCTATCTTCTTTTTTACAACACTACACGTTATCGGACTTTATGGTTTAGTCACATTCAATTTTTTTCAAAACTGGAAGACGACTTTGTGGTGTAAGTGTATTTAAATAAACTTAAAAATTTAAGCCTTATTAAAAAATTCTAACAATCATTAAATTTTCTCACAGATATTTCCTATTTAATTATTACATAGCTGTTTACACACACACACACACACACACACACAC